TCTATACACTAAAATTATGTACAGGATGTACCACATAAAAACTGGTTTTGATCACCAATTGAATAAATTGTTGTAATCTACAAATTGGAAAAAATTAAACAAAATAAAATTAGACAAAACATTTGAAAATTTAGTTTTATTCACAAAATATTATGGAAACTTGCACAACCAATGCTTTGACATTTAAAGTGACCTGGTATTATTCAATCAGTGAATCAGTTTTACTTGGCCACTCTGCAATTTACACTTACATTACTAAGGATTTTCATAATCATAAATTGTATAAAATGATTATTATATTCTAATAATACAATATTTTCATNGAATATATTTTCTTTAAAATCTAAATATGATTTTATTATAAATATTTCTCTATACACTAAAATTATGTACAGGATGTACCACATAAAAACTGGTTTTGATCACCAATTGAATAAATTGTTGTAATCTACAAATTGGAAAAAATTAAACAAAATAAAATTAGACAAAACATTTGAAAATTTAGTTTTATTCACAAAATATTATGGAAACTTGCACAACCAATGCTTTGACATTTAAAGTGACCTGGTATTATTCAATCAGTGAATCAGTTTTACTTGGCCACTCTGCAATTTACACTTACATTACTAAGGATTTTCATAATCATAAATTGTATAAAATGATTATTATATTCTAATAATACAATATTTTCATATTACATAGTAACTGTAATTAAATAATTTTCTATAATGATTAATGTAGGTAACTTTTAATTTGAAAACAACAACAGATTATCTAGTAACAAGAATTATTCATATTTCAAGTAAGAGCCAATTAATCAAAGCTTAAGTATCTGATTACAGTTAAACTAATAATTTGAAAAGGAGTATCTTAAAACTTTTTTCTTAACCTTCACAAAAAGAATTTTATACATCATAAAATATTTTCAAGAAATTACAATATTTTTATTCACAGCTTAATAAATCAATTTGTAAATATCACACAATAACAAGAAATCATTTTCATCTTTTTAATTAATTACTAAGAATAATTTTGCAATTTTAACTTTTGTTATAAATTCCTGATAACATGATAAATTATGAAATTTTTACTAAAAAATTTTTGATTCTTTCATAAAAATTAGAAAAATTGTACAATTGTGCTAATTTAAAAAATTGATTAGTTGAACAATTATTATGTTAGCATGCAAATAAATAATGGAACATGCATCTAGTGTAAAATATTAAAAATTTAAAATTATAAAATACTTTATTTTCTAAAACAATTTTAAAACCATTTAAAAATATTATTAGCTAAAACAAATGAAATTTAATGTGCTATGATTAAAATATTTAAAAACATTGCTAGTTCTAATACATACCATGCATTGCTTGTGATATTATTATAATCTTTCTAATTCTGCAAATATGAAATATGTTTTTAAAACTAAACGTAAAAAAATGTATATATGAATTCTAAACAAAATAATAATGTAACCATTTGCATTGAAATTTTATTATGAAAAGTTTATTCATATACTGTTTATTCAAATTAAATGAAATTTTATGATATATTATTAACTATAAGTTCATAAATGTTATCTCAAAAATGTTACAATAATTTATGAACATCTTTTTCTCACTTCAAGAAATTATTAAATAATGCTATATAATGTATTGTTTTAAAATATCAATTATAAAAATATTTATTATTATTTATAATCTAATGTGCACAATTTGATTGATAAAGTTGTAAATATTTTATTTAAAATAACCATTATTATTTAAATTTACAATTGCTTGAACAATTTAGCATCTGAGAACAAAACATTTGATTGATTGCTAAGAGAGATACTTTCAATAAGTTTTTGGATTATATGCTGTATATATTATGCAAAAAAACAAAATTAAATTCTGATTCTGAATTTATTATAATTATTATTGTTTTAAATTTTGTAAATATGGTATCACTCAATTAAAATTTACTTCATAATATTTGTATTTTGAATTAATTATACTTAGATATGACAATTTTTTTTGTAAATTTTTGTAAAATTTTCTATTTGAGTTTTCTGAATGCATACCATGGAGTAATTTTAATAAAAGATATAACCTATTAAGGTTTACTCTTTATTTCAGTATTATTGCTATGCTATATTGTAACTACAAACTTAAACAAACATATGCATTCTTGTATATAGAGAATCATAATACTATATGGCTGATCTTTTTGTATATCATCACTTAAAATTAATCAAGTTTGTTTTCTATATGAAAAACAAAGCTATGATACAAACTATAAAATTATTCTGAAATTTAAATACTATAATTTTACCTCAATCTTCACTAAGGACAAGTTTTGGCTATTCTTTAGTATTGACTTAAACAAAAATTTATTATATTTAATTTATAATGTATTTAATTCATAATTGAAATCTATAGTTATTGTTTCTTAACATTCATTTTACTATAATAAAAAGGGACTTATCCACTGAATGAGGCATTCATTAAATTTCAGTTGTCCAAAAATTCTGTTAAATGTTATTTAATATATAATCAATTTTAGATAGATTAATTCATTAAAAAACATTTCATTCATCTGCTAAACATATTTAATCTAAATAATGAAATTTGCCCTTCATTTGTTTATTTTTTCAATTATTAATAAACAAATATTTATTATCCTTCATAAAATATTTAATACTCATTTTTCTTTGAAATATTTCAAACAATGTTTTTACTAAACATTTTATATTGTTTTGACTAGTTTAAAGTTCAGCTCTTAGTTTGGCATCATAAAATGTCTAAAGAAAAAATAATAAAGTATATAAGCAAGATATTCACATATGGATGCTACCAAATGCATAAATAAAATATTACATTTAATTTGTAATTAGAATTAATTTCAAAAATGACTTTTAAATTTTTGTTAATTTCTTTCTTTTTCAAATTTTGTACAAATATTTATTTATAGAACAAATTAAGAGATTTAATTCAGTGCTTATAATTTTTTAATCATTGATTCCCATTCACTACTCAATGGTATTAAAAATCTTATTGAAATTACAACATATTTTTTAAAATATTAAATTTTATTTTTTTTATTTCAATCTGCAAATGGTTACTTTTATTAATATTTTCATGCAAATGTAATAAAAATATTTGGTCAGTGATTTAGCATGATTTAAAACCAATTTAAAAACATGCAAAAGCTAAAATAATTAAAAGAAAACCTCTTTAATAGGCATCTTGAATTGCATAATTTCACCATAACGACTTAATACTTCCCATGGAGCATGAATCTTCACAAATTCCAACTCAGCTTCTTCCTGTTGTTATGATAAAATTAACATAATACACAATTAAATATCTTACTTAATTTCAAACAATAATAGCAAAATATATAATATAAAAAGATAATATATATTTCAAATAGTATGAAAAATATGTTTTCCTGTTAATTTCTATACTTAAGGATATAGAAAAACAAATGAAAATTTAACAATTAACAACTTTCAAAATTATAACAATTTTTAAAAAATTTTTATTAATTTATTCTTCTTTCATCATCCAAAATTATATATTTATTTAAAATTATTCATTTTAAATATATGATGATTAGAAATATGAATGACAAGAACAAAGGTCTAAATTAGATTTTAAAAAGCAGAGCACATCAATTTAACATTACTAGATGAAATATAGTCAAAACTTTTGGCAATAGTCCAAAATAAATAAAATATTCTAGAACAATCATTTGTGCATGTGAAGGGCAATTAGTATGACATCTTGCCATTTGAATCATAATACTTTGTATGCCTTAACATAAATTAAGGCAAGAAAAAAAATTAATATGCAAATGCAAGATTCAATAATCATTTTCTACTCTCTTCTGTTTGCATACTCCAAATAAAAAAATATCTTTCTTTAACATATATATATAACTTTTTCCTATTTATTTTATTAAAATTATATATACAGGGTGGGCCATCGAAAACGAAACGGCAGAGTTATCGTGTTCATCCAAGCAAATCCCTCGGACAGGTCGATTTTATTTTCAAGGGGGACATCTTCTGCAATAAAGTTTTTGCGATTTTGAATACCACAGATAACAAAAAATTTTAAAAACTCATTCATTTTTTATTAACTAAACAAACACTTATTTTGGAAAAAAGTAACACAAACTATTAACAAACATAAAATAAACCTTTTAAGCTGGACCGCATATGCAAGGAAAAAAATACTTTTCCTTGAGAATAAAATCGACCTGTCCCAGCAATTTGCTTGGACGAACACGATAACTCTGCCGTTTCATTTTCGTTGGCCCACCCTGTATAATATACAGTATATTTATGTTCAAATTCAAAAGTTGAATATTTGACAAAGATTCTTAAATCTGATCTAATATATGTATAATCAGATTTATGTATTTTAATAACTTAGTTGTAACAAAAAAGAAAAGTTAGTTGCAAACTGATTTTCTCCTAGAGAGAAAGTGAAAGAATCAGTTATTAAGACTGGAAAATCTATAGTAAGCATTACATAAAATATATACTCTTCTCTTTGTTAATAGTGATATATTTATATAGAGGACTATTTTTCAGCTGGAACATACTAGTACACCATACTAGCAGATAGCATAAAAAGTATCTATAGCCAATACTTACTACTGACAGTTGCTGAGTAAAAACAATTGCATATATTCAGTCACCATATATGCATACTGGCAGTAATTTTTTTAGAAAAAGAGCACTGCATATATAATATTCTATTATAAATATGTATAATTTAAAAGTCATTTTTTGATGATAGTCAGTCAGTTTTGTTAACAATTAAAACATGTAACATGATAATTCTCCTCCTATAAGCTACATTCTAATTGCTTTTCACATTGCTACAGAATGAATTTTGACAACTAAAATAACTATATCTATTTTAAAATGTAGCTCTAGCTTGAGCTTTAAATATATTGCTTCAATTACACACAACAGCATTACTTTCCACTTTTTGCTAATAAAATCAGAATAAAAGATGAAATTATCATTTTGATTTATTTACTTTTTAAACTCTACAATGTAGAAATCCATTTTATAATAATAACAGTAACTTTGAAATACAATTTCAAAGTTACTTTCAAATATTATTTCAAATATTATTAAAAGAATTTTCAAGTTAGAAGACAATAGTAAAATAAATCTTTGTATAATGTTTTATAAATGTCAGTGAAGAAATTCTTCATTATTTTACTGATAGAAAATTTTAAAAATTCATTCAATTTATTTTAAATATAATATAATAAAAATCTTTACTTATCAAAAATTATTATAAAAGAAGTTTCGGTGAAAATTTATGCAATAAGAAAAGTAAATTTTAGATTTCATAGATCTCATATAATTTTCATCCATATTATGATAAAATTATATTAAATGCTGATTTTATTCATTTGTATATCAATCCTCAAATGCACTAAATATTAATACATTAAAATTATGATCATAAAAATGTCAATAAAATATGCATATATAAGTTTATTTTCATTGTTTACTGTAAACATGAAACTAATTTTTGTTCTTTTCATCTAAATTAATATTCACATAACTAGTTCACATACACACAGAAAGGTATAATTAAATTTGTTTTTAATATTAATATTTACATTTTTTGCATATTCTAATTCCAATCCTTCATATTTTAAATTTTCTTCAAATGTTTCTCGAGCTTCTCTCATTGGAGAATTTTTATCATAAACAAGGACAAAATCAATGCGACGAATGCCATCATCAAAATATGCTGAGCAATCCTGTAAAACAATGTTTAATATTAAGTTTTAAATAAATTAAAGTAAAAAACAGGCTTTGATCAGTTTATCCTTGAAATCAACTGTACAAATATATGTATTTTCACTGAAAATTTCACTGATAAATTATATATTAAATGCAAATGCACAGAAAATGACACTTCTATTTCATGTTGATTCTCATTTATAAATAAAGTTTGCTCTAGTTTAATTTTTTTTACTAAATACAAAATTCTTTGAAATACTATAATCTATTTTACAGGATTTTACACAAGTAATCTGATTCAATTTATAATTTTATAAAATGAGGCAAATAACTTTACATAACTTACTTGAAGCTTCTTGTCCTTTAAATTTTGTGTTTCTAAATCATAGTGTACTGTATATTGAAAATTCAAATACTTATACTTTTCCTGTTTGACAAGGCCTTAAATTATCAAGGTACTATATGATTTAGAAACACAACTTGTACATAATTTAGCATTTTTTATGGATAATAATTTAACTGTTAACATTTCTTTTTAAATATTTCTAAGGAATACATATCTTTATTAAATATTTTAGAAAATATATTATTATAATTTTCCATTAAAAGTTTTTACTATCTACCTTCATTAGTTTAGAAGTTAGCAGACGCATGCCTAAAATATTGTTTTGGTAATAGAAAAATCAACTAAATCCAAAGCTAAATTTTCAGTCAGAACAAGTTAGTATGCTTTACCAGCAGACAGCATAAAAAGTATTAATAATGGTACATAGTACCAGCAGTTTCTCACTAAAAGCAATTCTACACATTTAGTCACCATATATTATACCGATAGTAATTTTTAAAGAAAAGGCCACTGATTAGGTCTGACAAAGAAAATCCTTAAACAGAATAAATCTTTAATAATGACATTTAACAGTCTTACTATCAATTACTGCAATATTTATATTACATTAAAAGAAATTTACATAATAGAGATTATAAATATAATCTAAAGCAATGTTTCTCAACCTTGTTGTAAGAGTGCCTCAAGTATGTCGTAAAAATATTAAATATTTTTTTAGAATTTTGAATAAGCTTTTTTAAAATTTCATTTATCTTTTATCTTTTTACATTGGCCAATCAGAAAGAGAAGAAGATATTCAGTAAAATGCCAGCTGTTGCAAAATTTGTGGCATCACCATACCTCCCTAACAAAAGTTGAGTACATCTATGCATATGCTATCATACCAACTCTATAAGCATTGTGGCTTAGCAGCTTAAAAACTGATACTAGCTCTTTATGCATTAACTCAAATAATCTTTTTATTTTTATAATATATTTGTAAAATTGTGAGTTTGGTCTTTGTAAATTTAACTTCTGTATATTAACTTCTATGTTATAAAAAACTTTTTAAAAAATCAATCATAATTTACTTTAAATTTTGAACATTTTTATTTTAAAAATTATGGTGTGTTGCAGGAATCCTATTAAATTTGAAGTATGTTGCTAATCCAAAAAATTTGGGAAACACTGATCTACAGTAAGTAAATTTAATTTTCAATTTCTTCAAAATTCTTTGATAATATATGAAATATAAAAAAATACTCTCTACAATAAAATATTTTAAAGAGAGAAAAGCTTTTTCAAGTAAGTTCAAAAATCTACATTTGACTTTAAGAAATGTTTTGTATGCAATATTCCATTTAGACAAAAGTTTTGAATCTCTAAAAAATAGTTTTGTAGATTTTGAAAATATTTAAAATATGCTTAAAATTCTGTTTAATTATACAAAAAATAGTAATATTTTGTAAAGCCATTTTTAATTTTTCAATATTAAATTATTTTTAATATTACTTTTGTACGGCCTTAATTATATTTGAATATATTTTCTTTAAAATCTAAATATGATTTTATTATAAATATTTCTCTATACACTAAAATTATGTACAGGATGTACCACATAAAAACTGGTTTTGATCACCAATTGAATAAATTGTTGTAATCTACAAATTGGAAAAAATTAAACAAAATAAAATTAGACAAAACATTTGAAAATTTAGTTTTATTCACAAAATATTATGGAAACTTGCACAACCAATGCTTTGACATTTAAAGTGACCTGGTATTATTCAATCAGTGAATCAGTTTTACTTGGCCACTCTGCAATTTACACTTACATTACTAAGGATTTTCATAATCATAAATTGTATAAAATGATTATTATATTCTAATAATACAATATTTTCATATTACATAGTAACTGTAATTAAATAATTTTCTATAATGATTAATGTAGGTAACTTTTAATTTGAAAACAACAACAGATTATCTAGTAACAAGAATTATTCATATTTCAAGTAAGAGCCAATTAATCAAAGCTTAAGTATCTGATTACAGTTAAACTAATAATTTGAAAAGGAGTATCTTAAAACTTTTTTCTTAACCTTCACAAAAAGAATTTTATACATCATAAAATATTTTCAAGAAATTACAATATTTTTATTCACAGCTTAATAAATCAATTTGTAAATATCACACAATAACAAGAAATCATTTTCATCTTTTTAATTAATTACTAAGAATAATTTTGCAATTTTAACTTTTGTTATAAATTCCTGATAACATGATAAATTATGAAATTTTTACTAAAAAATTTTTGATTCTTTCATAAAAATTAGAAAAATTGTACAATTGTGCTAATTTAAAAAATTGATTAGTTGAACAATTATTATGTTAGCATGCAAATAAATAATGGAACATGCATCTAGTGTAAAATATTAAAAATTTAAAATTATAAAATACTTTATTTTCTAAAACAATTTTAAAACCATTTAAAAATATTATTAGCTAAAACAAATGAAATTTAATGTGCTATGATTAAAATATTTAAAAACATTGCTAGTTCTAATACATACCATGCATTGCTTGTGATATTATTATAATCTTTCTAATTCTGCAAATATGAAATATGTTTTTAAAACTAAACGTAAAAAAATGTATATATGAATTCTAAACAAAATAATAATGTAACCATTTGCATTGAAATTTTATTATGAAAAGTTTATTCATATACTGTTTATTCAAATTAAATGAAATTTTATGATATATTATTAACTATAAGTTCATAAATGTTATCTCAAAAATGTTACAATAATTTATGAACATCTTTTTCTCACTTCAAGAAATTATTAAATAATGCTATATAATGTATTGTTTTAAAATATCAATTATAAAAATATTTATTATTATTTATAATCTAATGTGCACAATTTGATTGATAAAGTTGTAAATATTTTATTTAAAATAACCATTATTATTTAAATTTACAATTGCTTGAACAATTTAGCATCTGAGAACAAAACATTTGATTGATTGCTAAGAGAGATACTTTCAATAAGTTTTTGGATTATATGCTGTATATATTATGCAAAAAAACAAAATTAAATTCTGATTCTGAATTTATTATAATTATTATTGTTTTAAATTTTGTAAATATGGTATCACTCAATTAAAATTTACTTCATAATATTTGTATTTTGAATTAATTATACTTAGATATGACAATTTTTTTTGTAAATTTTTGTAAAATTTTCTATTTGAGTTTTCTGAATGCATACCATGGAGTAATTTTAATAAAAGATATAACCTATTAAGGTTTACTCTTTATTTCAGTATTATTGCTATGCTATATTGTAACTACAAACTTAAACAAACATATGCATTCTTGTATATAGAGAATCATAATACTATATGGCTGATCTTTTTGTATATCATCACTTAAAATTAATCAAGTTTGTTTTCTATATGAAAAACAAAGCTATGATACAAACTATAAAATTATTCTGAAATTTAAATACTATAATTTTACCTNTACTCGCATATAAGACAAGGTTTTTATTCATTTATCACAGCTTCAAATTCCTAGGTCATCCTATATGCGCGAGCAAAAGATTCTTTGAGTTTTTGCAAATAATTTTTGTGAACCATGCATTAGTGTTTTTTACCGAATGCTTTTTACCCTCTTGTATTTAAAAACGTAAGTATTTTATCTGGTTGTTTGAATTGTTCTTGTATATTGTCAGGAGTAAAGATGAATAACAATAGGAAAAGCAACACTTTTGAATTGAATTCCAGATTGAAATTCGGAAATCACACAGGAGCACAATATAAGTTTTAATCCATTCCCATATGAGAACAGATGATTATTCGGAAATCAGAGTTTGGAGAAACTCATAAGTGTAATCGACGGAAAATGGATTCGTCAATTTTACAAGATTTTTCCTTAAAGTTTAAAATGCTAGTAATTTTTGTGGAAACAATGTGTGCATTTACGTTCATTTGATATTTTACTTGTAATTAAATGAAATAAAATTAGAATTGTATTAATAAATCTAATTTTCTTTATTTTGATCTTTAAAGTCACACCTCGTCCTATATGCGAGGTCATCTTATATGCAAGTAAATACTGTATTTGAAATATCACTACTACAAAAACATTTTTTGGATGTAAAGATTTCATTCCAAAATTATTTTAGCAATTACAGCAATCAATAATTATAATTATTGATTGCTGTAATTATATTTTACAAATTAGCAATTTTAGCAATCTATAATTCTATATAAATCTAATGTGTAATTGTTTCTTTATTTAAGCATCAAATTTTTATGCAAACAAAAAAAATTCCTGAATTAAAAAAAAAAATCTTTTATTTAGTAGTAAGCAGTTATAAACAAACTGTAAAACATTTTAAAATAACAAAGTCCAAATAATATTTTTTTATGTATAATTTAATTATGAAGTACTTTAAATAAAAGAGTATTTATTTAGTTCATATTTATTTAATATAAATAAAAAACATTGTATATTTGTTTCATTTGTTTTATCTCTAGTACTTATGTTGTTGTTATGTTATGTTACAAAGAAAAATATCTGAGACAAGAATCCTTAAATGTTTTGTATGTTTCAAGCAGCCTAGTTCAATAAATAGATAAATAATTTTTTAGAGATAGTTTAATAAAGATAGCATTGTATTACTATGGTGCTATCTTTATTGAACTGGCTCTAATTTAAAATTATTTTTTTAACACTAAAATAATTATTGGTATTTTGAATATTAACTCACTTGAGCTGTTGTTTGTATAGATGAAGCACCATCAGCAAGAGACTGCTTCTCAGTGAAACTTATAGCATCTAAAATGCTGTTCTTAAAATCTGCAGTTAAATAACTACTATTATTTGTAACATTTTCTAAACTATAATAAATGCTGATGTCGGAAGCACCTACAAATAAAATAACAACAGTAATTATATATATTTTAAATTAAAAATAGTTTAATCAATTATTTATTACCATAATACCAACTGCCACTTTCCCTCTGTTATATATAACAGCCAGAAAAGTAAAATGAAAACTTTATCAATATTATAGATACAGAAAAAATATTTTAAGCTATTTTATGCTTAAAATAATAACAGACATGTCTGTTGATCACATGATAATGTATAATATGTACCTTCCTCATCAAACAGACTGTAACAGTGTATATCCTAGCATATTTTTCTAATCTACTCAAAACATATATGTATATACTATGACAATTAAAACAATGAAAAAAGTTGTGTTATTTTCTAAAAATAGTTTCTAGTTTAAAAGGTATTTTAAATATAGTTTTGATAACACAAAATAAATAAAAAATAATGTAATTTTTGTTGCAACTGTTTTATTTATTTTAAGCAGCCACTGATATCAAAATTTCAAGACAATATACGTTTAATTACATAGAAAATTGTATAAGCAAAATGTGTATAAATTTAAGATAGACGGTATACTTAACTAATAGATTTCATTATTAGAAGAAAATCATAAATAGAGCTATTAAATACAGTAGAGTGTCAATTTTCCGAATCAATTGGGGACTAGGGTTGTTCGTATAACTGATATTTCGGATAACCGACTTATGTACGAAAAAATAGTTTAACGTATCCGATGTTAAAATTTTTATCCGTTGCGTGTGGCTTTGCGTTGAATTTTCGTCAATGTTAAGCCTAGCAAAGACTATTGTATCGGTAAAAATTATTTTTTTATTTTGTACAAACAAAATAAATATATTGAAAAATATAAAAACAATAAAAAATTATACTTCAGATGTTAATTTAGTATCAAAAACGTAAAATATTTGAGTAGCCCAAGACATAGCCAAAGATGAAGCACTACAGCACTGGCGAAAATTTAAATTTGCCGACTGGAATTCTTTCGGATGATTAACTTTCGGAAAATCGATGCTCTACTGTATTTTCAAGAACAAAGATAAAATCAGAATAATTGAAAATGCAGAGTAAGTTTAGTCAGTTATTAAATTAGAAAATCTGAATAGACACTTTTTTTAATTTAAAATATTTATATCATTTGTTACACACAAATTTGAAATCATAAATACAAATATATTAAAGTAAAAATAAATAAAAGACAAATATAATGTACCAAAATTTCAGGCAAATAACCTTCTTCACAGTACACTCTGCAGAAAATTGCAAAAACAAAAATAAAACCTTTGTAAAACTTGCTCTACCATGTACCTGTGCCTCTGGAGCAGCCGTTGAAAGCAAGATAATTACTACAATGTATTAGGGGCAGTCAAATGAAAACGAGACATATGGGAAAAAAGTAAGTAAATTGTTTATTATTTCAAAAGTAATTGCCATAACTATTAATACATTTGTCCCACTGTGAGACAAGACAGTCAATGCCTTCATAGAAAATGTTTGCGGTTGCCTACGGAACCATGATTGTACCCAGGCGTGCACCTTTTCGTCCGAAGCAAATTGACGACCACGAATGTCTTTCTTCGAGGCTCCAAAAATATGGAAATCACATGGAGAGAAATCGGGACTGTATGGAGGATGTGTATGGACTACGCTGCAGAAGTTCCCAGCGAAACTTCTGCAGTGTAGTCAAAACAACCTTGGTAATATGTGGATGGGCATTATCCTGCAACAGAATGATGCTGTCTATCAACATTCCTGGGTGTTTGGATTTGATGGTACGCTTCAATTTTTGCAAAGTTTCTATGTACAGCTGTGTGTTAATTGTGGCACTGTATTCCAGAAAGTCAACAAGCAGCAGACCTCCATAGTGATGTTGGATGCAAACACGACTCACCGACCTCACTTCGAGCATGTCTAACAGACAAATGGCACAGCGGTGAATGTTCACACTGTTCCTTCCTGATTCCCAATAGAGGGCACTTCTATATACACACCTACCTGCATTACCAACTTCCGTGCCACAATTGTTATATAGTTTGTCTCGTTTTCATTTGACTGCCCCTAATAGTTTAGAATTGCCATCTCAAGCACTAAAATATTGTTTTTTCTGTTTCATTGCTCTGTTTTTGCTATTTCTGTTAACATATCATCATAACTACACAATTTCCAGATTATTTGGACTATAGTTTGGCTAACTATTAATAATTAATATAAAGTAATTTTTTTAAAAGATATGCAGTTACACTGATATCTTATACTAACATTAACTTATAATTACAATAATTTATTATTGGATTGTTCGGAAAGTAAGTTCGTTTTTTTTCCGTGGAAAAAAACACAATATTCTTATGATAAATAAATATTTTATTGAATTATATGTTGACCATTTTGGTCAAATACCTGTTGTCATCGTTTCTGGTAGTAGCACGATTTCACATTCATAAAAGTTTTGATCGTTCCTTACAAAAAACCGATCCAAGTGATTTTTGACATTGTCATTTCAAGTAAATATCTTACAGTTAAAAAAAATTGTACAGACCGGAACAAGTAATAATCTGAGTGTGCTTGATCTGGCAAATACGGTTGGTGTGATAGCATGTCCCATCTAAGTTATAACAGTTTCTGACGAGTTACCAAACTTGTGTGAAATTTGACATTATTGTGGTAAAACACTACAGCTGTTTTTTTTTATCAATTCTGGCTGGCTTTTTCTGTTTGATGATATTACGCAATTTGTTTACTCGAATGCAGTACACTTTCGAATCAATTGTTAAATTGTCTGGTAAAAGCTCCAAAAAAAAATTTCCTTAATATCCCACCAAATAGAGCATTTCTCTTTAAGAACTCATGGAATTCATATATTGAGCTTTGAAATGAAACCAATTTGTTTCAAGTATTCATAAACTGAACTGTTTACGAATACTTGAAACAAATTGGTTTCGTTTCAAAGCTTCAATTTGACAAATTTAATCTCTTAGTGATTTCACGTGTTGTTATTCCGCAGTTTGCTTCAATCGGTACTTTTATTTTGTTTTCATTGGCTTCAATTGGCCATCCATAACGTGGTGCATCTTCAATACTGAAATTGCGAGAACGAAATTTTGTAAACCAGTTTTGGCACTGTCGTTCTGTCAACACATCTCCACCATACATGTCACACGATTTTTTTCTTGCTTGAACGGCATTTTTATTTTTTTGGTAATAAAAAAGCAAAATATGCCGAAGATGCTGCTTTCGATCTTCCATATTTGATGGGACACAAAAAATAAACAATTGCACGAAATCAAACAAAATTTTTTTACAAATAAGCCATAAAATGCTAGCTGTCAAAATATATAATGATAATACAGTTTAGAAAAAAAATGGCAGGAAAAATATCACTAATCCGTCTAGTGGTAAAAAAAACGAACTTACTTTCCGAACAACCCAATAAATTAAATAATTTTACACAATTTTTATTTAAGTATTAAATTTAATTCAAAATAATAATTAAGAAAACTGAAACTAAAGATGACATTATCTTTCTGCTTTATTTTTTAAACTCTGTAATGTATAAATCTGTTTTTCATTAATTTAACTAACATTTGTATAAAATTTAAAATATTAAATAACTTTTAATTTGGTGTATATTAGTAAAGACAATAGCTTAGTACAGTAGTGTACACACTTCTGTGTGTACTTTTTGTGTTGCCTTTGTTAACATGTTGTGTGTATGGTATAGTATGGTATGGTATTAGCCTTTACAGGAAAGTGGCTACTGAAAAATTTACCCTGTACTCACTGGTTACCCCATAATTCAATTGCAGGTGTATAGGAATTGTCTCAATTATGAAAATTAAGTGTAAAAATAAATAAATAAAATTTACTGTTTTTATTTTATAACTAATTTTCTTTGTCCAGCAATAATAATAAAATAAACTTCTTGTATTTTGTCTTAGACTAAAGATTAGTTTGTATCTTAATTGCAAATATTTATAAAAAAATTAAATCTTAATCCATCAAAATATTAATAGATTAGGATTGTAAAAACAGGACTGTTTTTACATCTGACAGGGAGTGTACAGGGATGTATACTGTAGTTAAATACTTAGTGTCATTTCTTACAAATATATGAATAGATAATTGTTAGTCCAGTGGGTTAATTGCTGCCAGTTATAGTGGAAATCAATTTTAATTTGTGATTGAAATTTAAAACTGTCAGATAACATGCCTCCTCATATAACTCACATTCTTTTCAAACATAGATAACTCGCGGTTTATCTGCTTCAAATTACAGTATATGCATCCATAAAACAGTTGGATGCAGTATTTGTGTCCCTTCACTCTATAAAATGTGAAATCCAGTATGATTTGGAACAAGAAATCCCATACCATGTTAGTATTAAGTTTGAATAAGAAGCATTACTTTCTTATTCCAAACTAATGTAGACATTCACCAGTGAATGTCTACATTACAGTATTTAATTGCAGTAATTGCATAAATTTAACTGCAGTGGACATTCACTGGTGAATGTCTACTGCATTTAAATTTGAACTTTTGTTATTCCATATCTGTTTCATTAGTCTGATGACAATAATGCAATATTTATCAAAATTAATTGTGATTAGTGTGTGATTTTTGAGTCATTTTATTAACACTGAAGAAAGTTTATTTTTCTCATAATAAAAATATGAAAGCAACATAATGGAATATAGCTATTGCAAATCATTCATATGGGAAAGACCATCAATATGGCCAAAAAGTTTTGGCCATATTGATGGTCTTTCCCATATCCCAAAGAAGAAAGCTTGAATTTACTGTAGTAAATATAAAAAATATGAAGCCACTGTCATATGAATGTATATGGTTGATTGCAAGTGAAATGTAAAAAATTAAATTTGTAAAATTAGTTTTTAATTCATTTTAATTTTATTTTAAAAATTTCATTGCAAAAGATTTATAAAAATTTCATAAATCTTTTGCAATGAAATGAATCATAAAATCATAAAAAAAATTTTTCAACTAATCACATATTAAAAATCTTCTGTAGTTTTTTTCCTTTCAAAACATTATACTTTTAATTTAATTTAAAATAACATGTATTTATAAAAAAAAGTAATTAAAGAAAAAGCTGTCTACAAAGTTACATAAATAAATACCTATTTTAACATTCCATAAAATTAATGTTTTGGTGTAGCTAGAACTACAACTGGATCTAAAGCCAAAATCAAGAATTTATTCAATTTTTGAATTAGAGCCAAGTAATGCTGAAAGACTAATGTTCAACTTTTAATAAGAATTATTATTAGCTGTGGTTATCACAATAAAAAGATTTACAATTTCCATATAAGTTTATTACTAAAATAAAGTTAATGAAACAATCAAACTGTTATTTTTAAGGATTATTTTTACAAAAGTGCTTTAATTTATTAATAATATAATTTGATCTAGAAACAGGTGATGTCATCATCATGTGATTGTATGTAGTTTAACAATTAGAATTAATTTTTAATCAATCAACAATTTATCAACTTAATTTAATCAATCAACTGAAAAATTTTTGTATGGTCAAATCTTCTATAGACCCATCTGTTCACTAAATGTTTCTAACATATTAAATAATAATAAATTCTAATTACTACACTATATAAAATGCCAATATTCTGTATATCTAGTAAATATTAATTATGAATAAATAAAATTCATGAAAATGATCTAGAGAAAAATGTAACAGTGTTTAGTGTATTTATCCAATTTGATGATTTTGATTGATTTTCATTGGTTTTGCTAATTCTACATTTGATGGTTTTCTATATTTAAGAATATATTTGTAGTAAATTATGAAAAATGCTTTTATCATAAATAAAATAATCATTATAAAATGTTCTTACTAGGAAGTGAAAGCTGACTTTCAGTCTGATCTTTTGAGTATATCTGATTGTCATAATGACTTTCAGTGTCAGAATTATTACTCCTCTGTTTGCTATTCTCATATAAACTAGAAAATGACATCTGTAAGAAAAAACAAAAATTAATAATATATTCTTAATTAAAAGAGTATAAAATTTTCAAAGTAATAAATGCATTAAATGAATATCAGATGCTAGCCATCAACTGGAAATCTTATACAGTAGAACCTTGAAAACTCGGCTCTCAATAACCCGGCACTCCGGATAACTCGGCCACACCCTGGCAGGGCAAAAAAATCCTTAGTTAATTAATTTTCATTATAGACAGCTTTATAAAAGTATAAAAGCTCTCATAAAGTATTTTTCTGAGGTCTGTCTTATCAGGTAAATTACTGTACACAGTGTATTCATTAATTTTCATTTTCATGTAGTAAAGGCTCTATGCCTTCATAAAGGACGTACTTTTCCTTTGTTTAAGGGTATTTGGGCAGTTTATTCTCTGTTGTATTCTCAAGTAAACAATACATACAAGTACAGTACAGTATTTTCTGAGGAAACACTCGTACTTATTTTTTTTAACCCCATTCCCGGTAACCCGGCATTTTCACAAACTCGGCCACCCTTCGGTTCACATTAGGCCGAGTTTTCGAGGTTCTACTGTACTAAAATTATTTTTCTATAAAGAACTTAATACATAATGAATTATTGTATATTATTGCATTACTGTGAATAATCTTATTGGGCTACAATTTTCAAACTGCAAACCTACAGATTTCCACTGGTGTTTGTCCATCCTTCTTAATCTCAAAAATGGGGTTAGATGAAAATCAAGACCAAATATTGAAAGCTTAGGGGCCAGAGTATTAATTTATTTTTAACTATTAACTATTTTTAAATATTAACAATTAACTATGTACGAACTTATAGTATGGACTGGAAGTCACATGATTTTTTAAAATTCAGTTTTTAAAAAATTCAGTTAATTTTTTAAAAATTAACTTTTTAAAAATTTCTATTCTATTCTAAAAATTATGATTTCTAATGATTTCTAATGAAATCATTAGAAATCATAGAATTTCTATGATTTATAATCATAGAAATTCTATGCACAAAATTGTGCATAGAAATTGCACAATTTTATGCAATTTCTATGATTAGAAATTGCATAAAATTGTGATAATGTTACAATAGAAATTATGAGTAATTACTTATTGTGACATTATCACAATCCTTCGCTATTCATCTATCTTGAGATTAAGGAAGGATGGACAAAAACCAATGGAAATCTGTAGGTTTGCAGTTTGAAAATTGTAACCTAATAAGATTATTCACAGTAATTGCTCATTTTATACTACGAGGGTGAATCAAATATAAATGAGATTTTTATTCCTGAGCAACTAAGGTTGGCAATACAGGGCCCGTGCGTCTAGTCTGATTGGGTAGGTTCATTAGGAGTGGGAACACCGGCTGTTTCATACTTTCAACCAATTCACCAGTAGTACTCACAATGATGGAGCAACAGGTACCCTCTGTTGCACAATGCATAATCATACAATTTCTTGCTCGTGACGGAGTCAATGCAACAGAAATTTTTTGCAAATTGACTGCACAGTTTGGGGATCAAACACTGTCAATGACTCACGTGTTTGCCTGGCATAAAAAGTTCAAGGAAGAACAGACACGAGTGGAAAATCAGAAACATGATCGCAAGCGAAAACATTCGAGCAGTTCGAGACATTATTCAAAGCACAATCAATGCTGCTTACTATTGCGAGCTGTTGGATAAAGCTAAAGCTGCATATTGGTGCAAGAGACAAAATCAACCGATTTGAGATGTCATTCTCCTCCAAGACAATGCCAGGCCCCATATTGCATCTCTAACAGTTTCAAAACTTAACAAAATGCATTGGACTGCACTTGATCATCCTTCCTACAGCCCGGACCTATCACCCTGCGATTTTCATTTGTTTGGACCGCTTAAAGAAGCTTTAGGAGGACAGCGATTCGAAGATGATGCAGGAGTGGAGGAATTTGTGTGCAATTGGCTCCTGATGCAACCAACTTCATTCTACGATATTGGAATAAGAAACCTTCCTTCTCACTGGGATAAATGCATTTCTATAGCAGGAAACTATGTAGAAAAATAAATCATAATGTATTTTTTATTTTTTAATAAATAATTTTAAAACATAAAATAAATCTCGTTTATATTTGATCTACCCTCATATTATATTAATGTAACTGATACTTATTGTTTCATTGGACCATTGTTAAGTACCTACTATGTATTAATGCTTTCACAATATGATATAAATTTCCAGTGAGACAAAATATTCAATGTTTGAATGAGTGCCAGATAAAGTTTCTTGTATTAGCAGTGGGGAGTTTAAACAAGACAATGAATTCTAATTCTAAGACCAAACTTTAACTATATGACTAATAAGTTGTTATAAAACTTCATTTAAGCATTCATTTTTTTCTGATGAGGAGTAATGTTTGTTCTTATTTATAAACAAATAAATATCAAAAAACATCCTTTATTTTATTACAATAAAAGAATTTATTTATCATAATAATATACATAGTGATTATCATAGTACTTAAGTATGCTTACATGCATAAGTACATATTCTATGAAAAGTTGAAATACCATAAATTATCATTGTTATGGTATTTCAACTTTTCATAGAATTTCTTTCAATTCTCTTTCAGTTCTAACTCTTGTAGAATTTGAACTGAATGAAATCAGAAGTTTCAAAAGCTGATTTTAAGAGTTAAGAAGTAGACTGAAAGAGGAAAAATAAGAAAATAGAGAGAGTCACTTTACACTATGTTAACTCACTGAGAATAGAGTCTTATACAGCTTGGAAAAAATAATAAATAAAAATCCTCAACCTAAATCTAACCTAACCTATTATCAAGCCAACTTATTCTTTCACAATTGCCAGATTTGTGAGGCTCTCAATGAAGGAAAACCCAGTTGTCAACTGCCATAAATGATTATAGAACCCCCTGGTTGACTACTGGGTGAACAGCCAGTGATTATTTTTTTTCAAACAAAGGTCTAGTAAAAATGTTTTTTTTTTTTCCATGACAAGTATAGAACAAACTTTATTTCCATATATAAATTTTACCTTTCATTTTACTTTACACTGTAATACCAAAATCCAAAACAGCTTTAAACGGTCAACTACTGGTGCCATTATCCTATATATTATATAAATATTCTGATTTATATATAAACATAAATAAATAGTATTAATGATGAAATTTTTTTATCACATTTATTTTTTGCAATTTTTTGATAAAATAACATATATAAATATGTGAGCCATTTACTACATATACATGCACATTATTTTAATGCATGTTAAGAATATATATGTTTTTTCACATACTATATATAAATATTTTATGTTTTGTATAATATAAATAGAAAACCTTCCCTGCAAACTGAACTATTCTGTAACAAAATATACAACAAAAAATCCAACTCCTTCCAGTAATAATGTTTTAAACCTGATGCAGATCTCAAGAAGAGGTCAAAAACATTATTATAATCAGTGGTTATATTCACACAGGTTCGGCCGAACCCGTTGTTAACATTTTCAAAGTTTTCTGAACCTTGTTAAACACACGTAACATTTCTCAGTGGTTTCGTTTCTTTTAAAAAATATATTAAAATATACATATTATACTCTGTAACAGTACTAAACTACAGTGATGTGCTGTCATTGGAAGCAGTGGATGCACCGCTTCCCTTGTATTTTCTAAAAAATAAATACATATCAATTTTAATTATATGAAAATAATCGCACAATATTTTATTATAACCACATTATGTATCTTATTACAAACTAGCAGACCTCGCCATGCATTGTTGTGGCTCAAAATGTATCTATTATAAATGTATAACACTTCCCCCGTGGGGGGAAATTTTTCGAAAAATTTCTTCTTAGTGTACATTCTCTTGACATACCCTATTAAAACGCAGTCAAAAATGCAGAAACCCGCATCTAAAATAGTGTAAATAGAAGCAGAGTTCTTTACCGTAAGCCTTAATCCTAACCATCTCCCTTCAGTGGGGGGAATTTCGACATGTATATTATATAAAAACATGTGCGTATTTGAATGCAGCGTTGTGTCAAAATTTCAAAGGAATCAGTAGGAACAAACGAACATTACATTTTTATTTATATAGATAGATAGAAGATGATTTGCTTTAGTTCATTTTCACAGAAAAGCAAACTTATGGCATTGTACTCATAGTGCCATCTGTTGGACATAAAAGCCTTAACCTAGATTATATATTTTAATTTATATGAATGTTTAACGGAATAATATACAGCCTATGTCCACCCTGAGGTTCCATTCTAAATATTGGTGAAAGAATTTTTGAAATCAAATGAGTAGTTTCGGAGATTACCTGCTGCAAACAAACTTACATACATACTTACAAACATTACCTCTTTATAATATTAGTATAGATTTCTATACTACACGTGAAAAAAAACATAATATTGCTATTGTATACTCGAATATTAGTGGCGGAGTGGAAGCGCTGTATTGTCAGCATCCAAAAAGCCAGATTTGCGCATGTGCTTTACAGAGCACCAACCTCACCCAGTTTAGCTGGTGGAAGCCTAGGACCTTGGGATGCTACACATATACCGCATCCAATTCTATCCAGGACCGGTTCCGGGCCATTAGCCGCCTGCTTGCTAGATATTTGGCCGCCCTTGCCCGATTACGTGAATCATGAGTAGATTTATAACTTAATCCAACCGATAAGAATTTACTGGTATGTTTTTATGATAGTTCTGTATAGTTGACAGGAGTTAAAAAAAATCCATTAAAATATTTGATATCTTTATTCCGCTCTCCGATTTTATATTACTCATGGATTTCAATGTTAAACCAGTGATATTACGATTTCGTATATCCCATCTTTAAGGGGATGTAGAAAAACATGTGTACAATTCTTGTAAAATGTTAAAAAATTAACTGTTACTTCGACAGCATCATTTACAACTAAATTTAATGAATGAGAGAGATGCACCAGGTACAGAAAAAGCTGTAGAATTTATTTTCCTTAAATTTACG